ATAATTACAGTAATCTGTCCCCGAAGGGTCTCGGAATCTACCATGTTTAACCGCAGTAAATATCGATGACCAAAAAGCGGAAACTGGAAAATATTAGAGAATTAATTATAACAGATTTTCTTTATATTTTAAATTATTGTAATTAATTATAATATCATTGTAATTAGTTTTAATTCCCCAACTCTAGGCAAGCTTCCTATTTTTGTGCCTTGTAATTAGTTGTAATCCCCCAACTCTAGGCTAGTTTCTTATTTCTGTGTGCCCAATATTGTGTATATATATTCACTCTTAATCAATGGAAAGGTCAAGCCATTGTTTCTCAATATTCTTCTCTCTATTTCAACATGGTATAAGAGCCTAATCTTCGTGGGCATATTTTCCTCTTCTTTTTTTTCAAAAACACTACGATCCTTCATATATATATATATTTAAAACTACTCCACCAGTCCATTCAATGGCTTCCGATACGACTTCCTCTTCCACCAACGATCATATTACTATCCAAATTCTCAAGATCTTCAACATCCTCTCCTTACAATAGATCTCTCCAATAAACCAAATTGTCATCCACCAATTATCTCACATGGAGCCTTCAAATTCAATCTCTTCTTGAAGGTTATGACCTTCACCACTTTATTGATGGCACTCAAACTCCACCACCACCCACCACCACCATCAATGGTGTTACATCTCCAAATATAGCGTACACAACCTGGAAGCTGTCAGGATCGTCTCCTTTTTAGCGCTCTCTTTGGTGTCATCTCTGTTTCACTGCAACCGCTTATTGACCGCACCACCACTTCCCTTGATGCATGGCAAACCTTAGCTAATACCTATGCCAAACCATCTCGTGGTCATATTAAACAATTGAAGGAATAATTAAAGCGGTGTAACAAGGCCTCAAAATCAATTAGTGAATACATGCAGGCGATAAAGACTCGTGCCGATGAACTTGCTCTTCTAGGGAAGCCATTAATGCCCGTGACATGTCAATTTCTTTTGCTGAACTTCATGAGAAACTTCTCAACAAAGAAGTATCTCTTCAGACCGCTCAACCACCTTCTCTATCATTACCAGCCACAGCAAATCCCATGCCTTCCAGAATCGTCCAAATTGACGTCCACCAGCCACCAATCCACAACAACCAGGCCCTACCACTATGTCTTCTCCTCATGATCAACGCCAACCCAAACCTTATTTGGGTCGTTGTCAAGCATTCGACATTCAAGGACACACTGCCAAACGATGCCCGGTGTTTTGTCTTGTCACTAATCAACAATCACCAACATCTCATCCTCAAGACTCTTAGGGATATCGCCCTTCAACACCTAGCAACCACGAGCTAATCATGTTATTCTGGGTAACAAAACTGTACCTACTTGGCTGCTGGATAGTGGAGCATCTCACCACGTTACGTCTGACTTGAGCAATCTCTCTCTTCATAGCTCGTACCAAGGATCTAATGATGTCACGATTGGTGATGGATCGGCCCTTCACATAACCCATACTGGTTCAACCACCATACCTACTTCCTTTCGCACCTTTACTTTACAAAATGTCCTTTGTGTCCCTTCCATGAAAAATAACTTAATTTTGATTTATCAATTTTGCACTCATAACCATGTTTCTATTGAATTCTCACCCTATGCTTTTCAGGTGAAGGATCTAAACATGGGGACAATCCTTTTGATGGGTGAACCTAAGGATGGCGTATATGAGTGGCTGACTACATCCCCTTCAGTTTCCTCTCCACCATTGCTTGCATTTTCCAGTGTCAAGACCACTTCGTTTGAGTGGCACTCTAGACTAGGTCATCCATCATTTACTATTATGAAAAATATTGTTTCCAAATTTCCTTTACCATTGTCTAGTCCCTTATCCTCCTTCACACATTGCAATGCATATTCATGCAATAAAAGTCATAAAATTCCATTTTCTTCTTCTACCTTAACCTCATCTCACCCGCTTGAACTTATCTTTTCTGATGTCTGGAACTCTCATGTTTATTCTGTTGATGGTTTTCAATACTAGGTTATTTTTGTTGATCATTATACACGATATATTTGGTATTATCCCCTTAAACGGAAATCTTATGTGTATGACATCTTTGTACATTTCAAGGCATTAGTTGAAAACCAATTTAAACACCGAATTGTTACCCTCTATTCAGATAATGGTGGTGAATATCAAGCACTTGATCATTTCCTCTCCACCAATGGTATAACCCATCTTACTACACCACCCCATACACCAGAACATAGTGGTTTTTCTGAACGACGTCATCTCCATATTGTTGAAACTGATATATCTTTCCTTACTCATGCATCAATGCCTTTAACTTATTGGACTTACGCCTTTGTCACTGTTGTATATCTCATCAACCGTATGCCCACACCCACATTACATCTTTCATCTCCTTTTGAGAAACTCTTTGAGTCTCAACCCAACTACACTAAACTTTGGGTGTTTGGTTGTTTATGTTATCCGTAGCTTCGTCCTTATTCTCAACATAAACTTGACTCTCGTTCCACTCCTTGTGTTTTTCTTGGCTACTCTTCAACACAAAGTGACTATATCTTTCTCGCTCTATCCACTTCTAAAATATACATTTCTCGTCATGTCAAATTTCTTGAAAACTATTTTCCCTTTAGCACTCACCAATCCCATCTAGCTCGTCCCACCCCAGAGATCATTTCCAAATGGCTTCCCCCTGGTTCCAAGTTTACCAATTTCAAGTCGATCACTCAATACGCCTCCACAAAGGGATTCCACATATCAACATCAGACACTAAATACCCAAACAATCCACTGCCCTTCCTCACCAATCGACCGTCGATCACTGTCCATAGACCTCCCTTTACCCGAACACAGCTCGGTTAATCGCCAAGAAACCATGGTCGACCATTTACCACTAGAACCACACAATTCTGAGACCTCTTATGCTTCAATCATAGCGCAACCCACCCATCAAAATACCCATCCCATGACCACTAGATCGAAAAACAATATCCACAAACCCCTAACCAAGATGAATCTCACTGCTATCATTTCTCGACCATCAGACATTGAGTCTCGTATTGTTTCTCAAGCTCTAAAAGATCCCAAATGGAGACAAGCTATGAATGATGAAACTTGGGAGCTTGTTCCATCTACTTCTTTGCAGAATCTTGTTGGATGTAAGTGGGTTTTTCGTATTAAACGGTTTCCTAATGGTTTTATTGATAGGTAAAAAGCTAGATTAGTTGCCAAAGGCTTTCATCAGCGACTTGGAGTGGATTATCATGACATTTTTAGTCCGGTTGTCAAGCCGAAAACAATACGGCTTGTTCTAAGCCTAACAGTTAGTAAAGGTTGGCAATTGCGATAACTGGATGTTAATAATGCCTTTATTCAGGGCCATATTTTCGAAGATGTCTACATGGCCCAGCCTCCAGGATTTGTTGATAAAGACAATCCAATACATGTATGCAAACTAAAGAAGGCTATATATGGACTTAGGCAGGCCCTACGGGCTTGGTACCTTGAACTTCGCCAATTCCTCATTTAGTCTCGGTTTACAAACTTTCATGCAGACACTTCTCTATTCATTCTTCACTCAGGTGACACTACTATATATCTACTTGTTTATGTAGATGACATTATTATCACAGGCACCAACACCAATATTATTCAACGCTACATTGACCTCATGGCACAAAGATTTTCAATCAAGGATCTTGGCACCTTGTCTTATTTTCTCGATATTGAGGTTCTAACCACTACATCCGATCTCCTGCTTACTCAAAGGCATCACTGATCTTCTTGCCCGGACAAAAATGATTGGTGCAAAACCTGTTGGTACACTACTTGTTACAGATGCACTTGTTACAGATGGAAATCTGACACTTCATTCAGGTACAACTCTAACTGACTGCACAGAATATAGAACAATTGTTGGCAGTCTACAGTATCTTTGCCTCACTCGCCCAGACATAGCATATGATGTTAACAAGCTTTCTCAATTCATGCATCGCCCGACGTTTGAAAATTGGAATACTGCAAAATGACTACTTCGATATCTGAACTCATGGAATATTACTTCACAAGGCAAATCCGCTTTCCCTTCATGCCTTCTCAGATGATGATTGGGCTAGAAAAAAAGATGACTATACCTCAACGAGTGCCTATATTGTCTATCTTGGTCGTTATCCTATTTCTTGGTCGTTATCCTATTTCTTGGTCATCCAAGAAAAAGAGTACAGTTGCTCGATCCTCCACGGAAGCTGAGTATCAATCTGTTGTCGCTACTACTTCTGAACTCAATTGGATTTGTTCCCTTCTCACATAACTTGGCACCACTCTTCCTACACTGCATGTTATCTACTGCGACAATGTTGGTGCCACCTATCTCTGTTTTAATCCAGTCTTTCATTCGCGCATGAAACATGTGGCACTTGACTATCACTTTATTCGGAGTCAAGTTCAATCAGGTGCTCTTCGTGTTACTCATGTTTCCTCAGCAGATCAACTTGCCGACGCTCTTACCAAACCGCTTCCACGAAGCCGATTCCAAGATTTAAGGGTCAAGATTAGTGTCTCCTCCAGAGCTCCATCTTGAGGGGCATATTAGAGAATTAATTATAACAAATTTTCTTTATATTTTGAATTATTGTAATTAATTATAATATCCTTATAATTAGTTGTAATCCCCCCAACTCTAGGCTAGCTTCCTATTTCTGTGACTTGTAATTAGTTGTAATCCCCCAACTCTATGCTAGTTTCTTATTTCTGTGTGCCCAATCTTGTGTATATATATTCACTCTTAATCAATATAAAGGTAAGCCATTGTTTCTCAATATTCTTCTCTATTTCAACAGAAAATAGCAACAGAATCTTCGACACCATTCTTGAGTTACTTGAATGATATTGTATACGGTTCCAAAATATTTAGTGCTACAAAATTTAGGGACATTGAAACATGATGAAATCAAGAATGTTGTACCAAAAGGTCTTTGGTTTTGTAATGGAAAATTTTGAGTAACAATTTAATTCATAAATCAAAGCGAGACATTTATGCTTTAAATCAAAGTGAAATATATGGTGGATAAATGGCATACATAAACTAGGCAAATCCCACGTAGCAGGGCAGAGTTTTTCAACTATCTCATGACTTGAACTTGGATCTTATGGTATCGATAACATCGGCATCAACTTGCAAGGTCGTCGTTAACACTTCATTCGGAATAGAAGAAGCGAAGAGGTTTAGCGGAACAACCGCAGCGCCGGGCAAGTGGCTGTTGAAAGCCGTGAACGCTAACGCCTTTCCTTCCCCGACGTTGAGTTGGAAGTGCACCAGTCCGCGAGGGACGATAAACATATGTCCCGCAGTCAAGACTTTCGAGTAAAACACATTGTTAGTAGTCACAAAGCCTACGAGGAGCTTCCCTTCGATGACCACACCGACCTCGCTCGCACGAGGGTGCGAGTGAGGAGGGTTGATTCCACCTGGGGCAATGTCCACTCGGTTCATCGCGATTCCGAGTGTGTTCAGCCCCGGAAACGTGAGAACATTTGCAGGCGTGAGGGACGAAGCAAAGCGATTCGTCGTGTTACCTTCTTCCATGAAACCATCGAAGAAGAAGTCATCCGAAGTCACCTCGGATGCAGGTTTACAAGGAAAACCATTAACAGATAACGAGCCACTCAGGTTTGCTACACAAAAGTCCTGTAACGGATCAGGGTCAGCTGAAAGGGAAGGAAGAAGAAGAAGCCAGAAAACTGTAAGGCAACAAAGTAGGTGCAACAACAAGGAAGCAACCATGACTGAAGATAAAAATGGTGCCAAAATATAAAAGCTTGTTGAAACTTTAGTTGGCTTTTAACCATGTCAAAGGGTGCATGTTTCCATCAAACTATAAAGATGACGCGAAAAGGCGACTAAAATCTTGCACTAAAAAGAAATAGGGTAAACTACACTAATCATCACTGAACTTTACTCCTCTCCTATTTCATTCACTGTATTTTAAATTCGTTCAATTTCTCACTGAACTTGATATAATTAATGATGTTAAAATGACGTCGGTTTAGAAAAATAAAATTTTCAAGAAAATAACGCCGTTAAAATAACAACTAATTTATAAGGCTGTTAGTGAAAAAAGGAAGAGTGACAAAAAAGATCAAATGTTTTAAGTTTAGTGAAGAAATTGAATAAATTTAAAATATAATGAATAAAATAGGAGAGTAAAATTTAATGATGATTAATATAATTTACCCAAATAATATTCAAGATGATGACCCAATGAGGTAGAAAATCAACACCTAATTCCAATAAAAAAAAAATCTGAAAATGGGGTAGGGATGACAGAAGTCTGCAACTTGTTTATGTATCCATTCTCATAAGGATATTAGCGTGCTCAGACTGCAACTCCAAACTTCTATCTGACACTTCAAAACCCGAACCTTTCATTTTCCTTCCACACTCCATGTTTGACACCTTCAAATATAGAGATATTTTCTTGTAATAAAATTAAAGATACTCAAATTATATATTACACATATCCGAGATGTACAGGGAAGTAGTATATAATTCATCTTTAAAATTTCTAAATTATTATATATTTAAATATTTTTTTATAAAAATATTTCTAATATATTTTTATCTTCCTCAAAATGTACAAGTACGCTCTCTTAATAGAGGATCCATAGTGTACTTAAGGTGGACACTTCCCAATTTTAAATTTAAATTTTTTATTTATTATTTTATTGATAGTATTTATATTAAAATTTTATGTGTTCATCTTATATAAAAAATTTATGTTATTAATATATGTATTTAATTTTAAAAAATATTTTTAAATCTACCACTATAATTTAGTTTAAAATTTTAAAAGTTCGTTTGGAATATAAAAATTTTATCTCCGAAGCACATATTCTTATCTAATAGCCACACCCAATTTAGCAACATAATAGAGTTTCCGACATATCTAGAATATGTCCTAATCTAATTAAACAACTCCTAACTAATTATGTTGACTTCCCAATTGTTCAGATAGGAATTGAAGTTTCAAGGTGCCATCAAGAGCACAGTTAATTGACCAAGTCAATTGACTCTTAATTATGATATAAGAACACCTAATTTCTTATAAAATGAAATGATTAGTAGAGCACAAGGTTCTTAATTTTGAGGTTGTGAAATCGAGTCTCATGGAGGGCATTTCATAATTTGGAGGTCTCCTACGGAAGCTGCTCTCAACCTAGTGTTGGGGACAGCCTACTATCTTACCTCTCCCTTACCCTATTACATATGGGAACAAGGGACAACCATTTTTAATTTCTTATAGAATCAATGTACAACCACAAACATCATAGTCAAATTATATTAACCTAATATAAAAAAAATTATATTATACTTATTTTCTTATTTAAGTGTTTAATTCTTTTTAATCAACATATGTGTTTAACGTTTTGTACATTATCATTTTAAGTGTCACATTTATCATCATTGTTAAAAGATTATTAAAAAATCAATCAACCACTAAAAATGTGACACATGACATATTTATAAAATTTTAATTAAAAATACTTGGAAATATTATTAATTTTAAAAAATCTAATATTTCTTCCAAACCTAAAAAAAACTCAAAATTCTTAATCTAAAACATTAATCGCACTCTTCTGTCAACCTCTATCGTTGTCTCTCCTACCTATCCTCATGTCGCCGATTGATCATATCATAACCTCAGTCTCCAAATTTCTTATATCTCTATAGTTAAATCCCTAAATTTCAAGACCCAAATCCTTTTATGTGGGGATTACATAGGGGCTAGCGATGGTGTTCTACAAGCGAATAGATGACCGCTGACGGTAACAATGATCAACAACAAGATTTTAGGATGTTTTTAGAGTTTTATGAAACTAAAGATATTTTTAAAAAATAAGAAATTTTGAGTTTTTTTTTTAATTTATAAATTTAAGCTTTAAAAGTAAAAGAAATTAAATTTAAGCCACGTGTCACATACCGATTACTAGATTGATTTTTAATAAAATTTTAGTAAGACAGATTAAATCTTTAAAATAATGATATCAAAAATATTAAACATTATATTGACTAAAAAGAAATTTAAGTGTATTAAATAAAAAATATATAACTTATGTTTTAAAATTTTTATATTTAAAGAAAACACTAAGAAACACGAATCAAATTGGAGTTATGAGGATCTGCAACATGGTAACTTGTACCAAACTCAGTCCAATACAATAAAATATTAGGGGTAAATTACGTGAATAATTCATTAACTTTATTCTCTCACATATTTCGTTCATAGTATTTAAATCTGTTTAATTTCCTTACTAAACTTAATACATTTAATTTTTTTGTCACTCAAATATTTTATCACTAATGGGTTATAAATTGACTATTATATAAATATAAAATGACATCATTTAGGTGAAAATTTTGTTTTTCTAAAACGATTTTGTTTTAACGTCGTTAACTATTCAATAACATAATGATTGGTGTAATTTACCCAAATATTATGATTGCTTTCAAGGGCCTTGTTTGGCGATACTTTCTAAAAACACTTTTAGATAATAAGTCAGTTTTAACTGCAAAATCAATGTCAAACGTGTAAAAAATGAAAAAAACAATTATGGTGGAAAACGATAATGTCAAACTAACCACAAAAGTTAGGATTTGTAGTTTTTTCATTTTTAACTTTACGTTTGAGAGCGAGTTATAATTTTACCTTTACTAACGTATGAGTTTCACTCAATTATGTATTTATATTTTATTTTAATAATTTAATATTAACATCTTTAAAATTAATTTATTACTTAATAATTTATTTTAATTACTTAAAAGTAAATAAAATTCAAAGGTTTATATATTAAAATATTAATAGTGAGTTATTATAAAAATATATTTTTATTATAATTATACTTTTTATATTTTTATTATAATTTAGATTTATATATTTCATTTATAATAATAACCAAATTTGAATTTATTTATAATATATATTTTATATAATAATTTAAGTTGATACATTTTATATATTATAGTATTCATAAGTGTAAATATAATTTAAATTTTATATTTTTAATTTATAACATAATGTATATAATAAATATTTATTTTTTTAAACTCATTTTTTAACAACAACGTTAAACAAGTTAAATTTTAAATTATATTTTTTTAAAATATTTTTAAAAAAAATATTTCTGTACTTTTAATAGTCATTTTCCAAAAATCATGCAAAATTATCCCTCATTTTCCAAAAATCCTGTAAAATCATCCCTCAGTCTCTGCTTCGAGCAGGCAAAGGACAGTTGACTGATGGACAAACATTCATTGCCTTCATGAAATTACACAGCAGAAATGTACAAAATCTCCCTGCATTTCTTTGAATATTAGAAAATAAAAATGTTTTTGTTTGATTTTTACAATAAATATTATTAGAAAATAAAATAAATATTATTAGAAAAGAAAAAGGATTAAAGTAAAAGTAAGTTCTTAAATTATATTTTTTTTGTTTTACATATTTTAAATTATTTTTTTGTCAAATTAGGTATTTGAATTATTATATTTAATTATTTAAATAATTAGTTTAAAATTTATTTTTTGACCAATATAATATTGACACATCATAAAAACTAAGATATTTGTTTTGACTAAAAAACATTTTAGGGGCTTAAAGCAAAAAAAAATATAGTTTAGAGACTTATTTTGACCAAAAATAGTTGAAGTATTTAAAATGACTACACATAATAGTTTAAGTACTTAGTTTGATAAAAAAAAATCAATTTAAGTACCTAAAGCAAAAAATAACATAGTTTAAGTATTTGTAGTTAAAACAAAAACATGGTATTTAGCTAAATAATTGTTTTAGTTTTGTTTTTTTAGTATTTTGACACTAATATTTGTATAAATTGAATGATATTAATTATTAGGTTAAATATTTGCATAAATAATTGTAATAATATTTTAACCCTAACATTTACATAAATATATCCATAACTTTCGGATAAACTGAACTTAGAACATTTGCATGAGTTGCAAGAGTCAAACCATTGAATTAGATGAATCATTTAGATTAATTGTATCACATTTTATCTTTAACTTATAAAAATATCATTGCAAAATAAATAATTTTTAATAATTATAAGATTTAAACTTGAGACACATTAAATTAATGATCAAAAGTTTAATCATAAAACTAGAGTAAGATTAATAGAAAAATCATCCACCTCAATAAATCCAAGAACAATTTAGGCGTCCACTTCTCAATCAATATCATTAAAGTCATATTTCCAAGCAATAGTCAGGTGAACCTTAGGGCATAGAGCTCGACTGCCACACTTGTGCAAACTCCAAGGTGAGCTACAAATCCTACGATCCACTTTTCAGAAGCACTTCGAAGCAGGCCACCCGCACCAGCAAATCCCACAATCTACTCCTTTACGAGCTATCATCGAAGACATTCGTAATCTCAAAATTCAGAATTGGATTTTAACTTTCCAACACACTTATCGTTAAGGTAACTTTTGTGCCAATGTCCTCTCAAAGACGAATTGTTCTCTTGACGAAGATATAATTGTTTTTTATTCTCCTCCGACGGAGGTTTCGCCATGCCTAGAAGCGGATATTAGGGGTATCTGTTCCCTCAGAGGGTTCAATATGCTATAGTTCTTTCCTTTCTCTTTGTAAAAATAAAAAAAAATCTAGAATGAGAATATATATTTATTTGAGAAAACTTAATATTTAACTTTTATAACTTTTAAATTAAATATTAATAACTTTACATAACTATTAAATTAAATTTTTTTAACTTTGTTTTAGAAAAATAATAAAATAACTA